TGACACAAAACCAAGTACTGATTAAATGTCGATGATGATAGATAGCTAACGAGGTGAATATGGCTCTTAGACTTCCAACTTGCTTACCCTTCAAGACTCAAGAGAAAGAACAAAAATGGGGGAAAAAGAAGTTAGGACCATCATCTTGCAGTTGCCCTTACAAAAAGTAACCTCTCTCTCTCTCTCTCTCTCTCTCTCTCTCTCTCTCTCTGACCTTTTCATCATTGCACTTTGAGAAATTCTCTACATAGTGAAAACTTCTGGGGTTAGGTTTGAAAGCAGCATGAAAATTGCAGTGCCCACTGTATCAAAAAAGGAAAAAAAAAAGAAAAAAAAAAAAGAAAGAAAGAATCACGAGTCTTTTTTTTTCTTTTCTTTTTTTTATATAACGGATAATTATTTTTTCCAAATGTTCTAAAAAAATCACTAGTTGACCGGAGGTTTCGTTTCTAAATTTGATCTGGAGGACCTACTAATCTCCACTCCTACATACATTCATTGCAGGAGCTGAGTGACAGTAGGGTGCAAAAACTTATGCAAGACTAAGTGAGACCCCTGAGCATTTATTAGCGAAAGGTATGGGGATTTAGTGTAGCTATCAACCACTAATGAAATAATGATAGATTCGGAGACTGAAGGAGTCATCACCGCCGCAGACAGGTCCACAAGAGGTGTGGTCCCTTGGCATTGGAAACCCCCCCAAAAAAACGAAAAAAGCCTACACTCCCGGAAAATGGTTCCTTCCTTCCTCCCCCACCCATCTAAACCGTCATCAGAGAATGTCTACTCAGTCTTTTTCATCCATTTTCCTTTTCCAGCGAGCTTTATCGTAGCTGGAAACTAGAGGTGACTCTTTTTTGTCTTTTTTGAAACCCAAAAACTTTGAAAAAAATAATATCAGGCGTATCTTTATCCCCTTCAAAAGACTAATATTATACGAAATTAAAAAAATAAATTTAATAATTATAATTATTGAATAGGTAATAGATAATAAATATTATAATTCATTGTAAAATCAATAATTATAATTATTAAGTCTATTTTTTAAATTCGTGTAGTATTGTTCATTTGTTGTTGATTTAATTCTAGGTCTTAGTATTTATCGGGACTCGATCTCAATTCAATAGTACTAATTCATCAAGTTAAGTTTTTATGTTTATTTAGCATGTTTTTTTCAAATAAATTTGATCAATAAAAGTGTCATCCCTATTCATCGGAATGTTACATACATTAAAATTTAAAATCAATGTAAAATCTTATTGATTCATATATAAATTTATAATATAAAGTATGATAGATTTTAATAAACTCATCTGACGGTCTCAAATAGACTCATTCAACGGCTAATAACATTTTTTTTAAAATCATTCACATTACATCTTGTCTTCAAGTAGGAGTTACCCCTAGTTTAAAATCATCGAAGGAGTCGCAACCAATTTTGGACAGATTTTAATAAACTCATCTGACAATCTCAAATAGACTCGTTTAACGGCTAATAACATCCATCTTAAAATCATTTACATTGCACCGTTCTTTCAAACACGAGTTACCCCTAATTTAAGAATAATCGAAGGGGCGCAACCAAATTTGGATTCCAATGGCCCGTTGGGCTAAGGGACGAGTCGGCCCACCACATGGTAGCCCTATGGCCTTGGGTAAGGGTATATGCTATGGTTAGGGTGCTCCACTAGCTAAACCGTTAAAAGGACCTGATGGGCCAGCCTATAACTATGTCCATTAAAAATTTTAGTATTTGGTCATGGTCCATTTTATCTTTAAAATCTTGTTTATTTACAAAAAAAGTCATATGAAAAGCATATAGACAGGAATTTATATCTCTCAATTCTCTTCTTTCTCTACAATTTTTGATGTTGCTGTTGTTGAAAGCCTTGATATCAAAGTCTGCACTATCAACAGTCAAACGTAAAAAAGTAAAAAAATAATAATTTTCAAGCATTTGGATAAAAAATTTAATGGGTGCACACTTGCATACTGATGCAATTCCGATAAGCTTAAGAGGTGTACTTCCCTCAATTTCAATTTGAAATCTTCAATTTCTACTTTTATAATTTTATGGAAGTAAACAATCAATTTTAAAAAATAAATGAAAAATTGTAAGCATGTACCTTTTAAACTCCTTAATTGTGAGAAAATATTTTGACTAAAATATATTGTAAATAAGTATTTTTGACTTAAAATATACTTTAATTAGGTATTTATTGACAGAATTTTAAATATTTTCTTAACTAAAATATAAATTTTCTTAATTTGAAGGCATGCTAGTTTCACTGTCCTACTTTTTATTGAATTTAATTTAGTATGTTAATGAATTCATTTTTTAAGAGATTGGACATATTTGAAATTCAAAATTATACCTCATGGAATATACATTAAAGGCTTGGCCCAAATTTTGAAATTTATTTTTTTATAATTTTTTAATGTTAAATGATTCTGATTGTTCTCAAATCTAATAACTGTGTCACTTTGTAATATTATATTTTGATATAACACTGTCATTCATTAAAAATAATATATATGGATGTCGTATTATGTGATGCATACTATTTAAATTGTGTATGAATTAGTGAATATAATATCACAATTTTTTTGTCACGTGTTAACGAATGTGTTACACTATCATGTACCAATATAATGTCACATTATTGGCAATTTGAATCGGAATAGAGGAATATCGGGGGTGCTTCAAGGTTTGTGATTTGTTTTGGTTGAAAATTGAAAGATTTTGTAGCATTTTTTTTTAAAATTTAAAAACCAACGTTTTGAGGGATACAATATGCCAAATTTAATGAGATTGTTGCATGATTTATAACAGTTTTTTTATCCACTTTTTGCGCCAGATAATTGTTATCTTGTGGGCATTTTTGTCATAAAAAAAATATTTCTATACAAAATTTTTTGTACCAAATATTTTTTTAGCGATAAATTAAACCTCGACTCACCAAAAACCCAAAAATAGACTAAAAACCCAGTAATGGTTCATTTACGGGCTTATTATGGGTTAGTTGGCCTACAAGAACCCATCACAACTGGCCCATCGTGTAAGCCTATACCTGGTAGGTTGGCCCGGTCTACATCTGCACACAAGTCTGACCATGGTGTGCACCCTGTTATGTAATTGTAATGGAGACCTTCGGATAAGTCAAAAGGAACCCAATCTAAACCAAATTGAAGTAACTTCAATTATTCGCCATTGTTGTGACATATCAGAACGACACATAATTTGCATTTGAGTTGCTTACAACTTTATTATCACCGTTAATATCCAACACAATGCCACAAAACCTGTACACCGCCGTTTTAGGGGTGCTCTGATCTAGATGGACGGGGGCTGCGGCGGTCCGTCAGGTTTTGACAGACGTGTCAAATCAAAGGCAGTTACATCGGGGTTACATTGTCGGCAATAAAGGCCGCAGAAAGCCGGACAGTTCAGCTGCTTTTCACCAATTTCACTCACTGGAGTTGACAGTCGGTTGGCAATGGTGGTGGGTGGAACCAACAGACATTGAGAGATGATTATGATGATGATGTGTGGTCCGCTACATGCAATACATGTGTCTTTTTGCCATGTCATCATATTGCCGTGAGGGTAAAATGATTACTTTGCCAGAGTTGATGGGGGCGTCAGACGTAATCGGTCAGGCTCTTTTACAGTGAGTGAGTGGGTATCTTCTTTTTTATTTTTTTTTTGGGGTCCGGTTCTACTCCCTACTATTAGTACAGTCAGCGCAGATACGATGTCTTTGGGCTTACGCTGATCATTGTTTCGGTTGGGTCACGTAGAAGCCCATTAAGGAAAGCCCAACTTGTTCCAGTTTAGACCAATACTGATACACCTGGAAATTCGAGAAGCTGAACACCACATCAAGAAGCAGAGGAAAGTGGCAGAAGCTTCGATTCGTTTCAGTGTGCCTTGATTTTCTCTTATAAATCAAATATGTAGTTACCAAGTATGAAGTGTTGGAGTTTCTAATCACTGTTTTTTTTATTTTAATTATTATTTAACAAATATACAAGTGGAGAGGGTCACTTTCTGACTGTATTATGTTATCTTCTTTTTGGCTAGTTTATCTGGCCTAGGGGTGTCAAACATTGGCACATGCACTGGCAACTTGTGCAAGTAGTGATTAAAAACAAGAAAAAAAAAAAACGAATCAGCTGCTTTAGTCCCCGTTTCTTTTCAGTGTACCTATTGATGAGCAGGAATATATATATATATTTTATTATAACTTCTAATTAAGTATAGCTTAAACAAATAATTTAGGTTGGTGAGAAAATTCCTGTAAAAATAAAGCATTTCCTAATTTGGCTTCCAGGTGCTCAAGGTCCAACCAAACATAAAGAATGGCAACATACTCAAATACGATAAATCAAGCTCACGTTGTTGGTCAATTGAGTTGAACCTCAAGGGATAGTTCAATTGATAACAGAAACGAATTTTAAATTCCGATATTCCAAGTTTGAATCTTGATAACTCTTTAAAGTCAAGTCATTAAATTTTTTTCCTCATAAATATCCTCGTCTCAGATCTGGGAGGAGATTAATCAAGTTACGTATAAATTGACCCAAACACCTCTAACAGTTAAATAAAAAAAAAACCAAGTAAAAGGATAAGATAAGTTTTTTGTATCTTATGGGGTAAAGTTTTAACTTCTAAAATCTTTGAATAAAATTATGCCGCTCAAATTTTGCATCTTAAATGATGCGTTAAAATTTTATGTATTAAATATTTAATGGAGTTAATATATGTAATTGATTCAACTATTACGCTAATTTAGAATACAAAATTTAATAAATAATTTAATAAGCAGTAATGAAAGTCTTTCGGGAACAACGTGAAATCAGCCCCAACCCACAACACTGAAATTAACCCTAGAGGCTAGAGCTGCAAGACTTCATCCACGCATTATGCTAGAAGGCTATTTTAGTCATTTACAGTATATCCTTTCTACATCCCCCACGGGCACTTCCGCTGTACCATTTCCTCTGCAAAACTACTCCTCTCTCCACACTGAAACAGAACTCATCTGCCGATCACTTATCACTTTCCTCCTTAATTTCTTCATTATTGCTTTGATTAATTGATAACCGCTATGATTGATGGTTATACCATTAAACCCTTTTGATAAAAGCGCTTTCTTTCTGTGGGTTTGAGGATTTCTGTCTTCTCCATGGTTGAAAGGTTGGGGTTTGCTCAAGGTCAGACCCTTTTCCATATTTCCCATCTGCTGGAATTCTGAAATTTGGGTTTGAGGATTTCGAGATTTTCCATGGTTGAAAAATTGGGGTTTTCTCAAGGTCAGTCCTTTTCCATATTTCTCATCTGCTGGTATTATGAGATTTCGTTTTTCTTTGGTTCTTCCATGACTGGTCCATTATATGTGCATTTAGCTTTGCTGATTCAAAAGTACCTTCTGAACCTAGGATCCTCCTGATAAGAAAAACCCAATTTTGATTCTCACTGCTATTAAGCTCAGTTTCACATATATAAAAAAAATGGGTGTACCACGAGGCTCCCGCGCGAGCTCTGGGCAGGATTACCCTCAAAGCTATTTCTGCGGCTTAAACCCGTGACCACTATTTCACAATGGAGCAACCTTATCGTTGTGCCAAAGTTCGCCCTAGTATTCTGTTTCACATATGTAAATGCATAATATCTGCACTGTTGGTTGGGGAATGGATTGTTTTGTTATTCTTGTGTCCTTGAAATTTCTGAATGGCATCTTGTCTGTTGAATGGAATATGGATTCAGGATGCCCACGGTAATTCTGTTGATTGCTTCATAGGTATTCTTGGCATTGTCCCATTTTGAGTCTCCGACGTTTTCTTGGAAACACTTTTCTATGAGGATAGTTGCAAGCTAATTAGAGCTGTAAAATAACATGACTATGGGGGGCTTCATTATGATTTCGGGATTAATTAGAGCAAGGAAGGCAAGTGGTTCCCGTGTATGGGAAGTATTTGTTACCATGGTCTGTTGCTTTGACGGATGATCTGCAACGTTGAGTTCTAAAGTATATACTCTATGGGCATGGTAAACCAATTCTTTGTTGTGCCACTTGTCCAAATCCAAATGGGTTGCAAGTGCCCGAGTCCTATCTAGCATGGTTCCCGGCTAGACAAATCAGTGTCAAAGCATATTGTACGTATGCCATGAAGATGAATGCTCCTATTTGTTCTTTGTAGATTAAATGCCAGATTAGCTCTTGCTGCTGCAGATGCATTGTAACCCATGTGACTGAAAGACGTCAACCAGCTGGATCTCTTACATCACAATCAGCAAGCTGTTAGTGATTAGTTAAGACTAATTAATAGATTAGTTAGAGAGTTAGTTATGACAGCTGTAACTTCACATGTGAAGCATTGAGTGCTAGATTCACTCATACACTCACTATATATACTCGTACGTGAGGTCCAGATGAATAAGATGAANGTTGAAAAATTGGGGTTTTCTCAAGGTCAGTCCTTTTCCATATTTCTCATCTGCTGGTATTATGAGATTTCGTTTTTCTTTGGTTCTTCCATGACTGGTCCATTATATGTGCATTTAGCTTTGCTGATTCAAAAGTACCTTCTGAACCTAGGATCCTCCTGATAAGAAAAACCCAATTTTGATTCTCACTGCTATTAAGCTCAGTTTCACATATATAAAAAAAATGGGTGTACCACGAGGCTCCCGCGCGAGCTCTGGGCAGGATTACCCTCAAAGCTATTTCTGCGGCTTAAACCCGTGACCACTATTTCACAATGGAGCAACCTTATCGTTGTGCCAAAGTTCGCCCTAGTATTCTGTTTCACATATGTAAATGCATAATATCTGCACTGTTGGTTGGGGAATGGATTGTTTTGTTATTCTTGTGTCCTTGAAATTTCTGAATGGCATCTTGTCTGTTGAATGGAATATGGATTCAGGATGCCCACGGTAATTCTGTTGATTGCTTCATAGGTATTCTTGGCATTGTCCCATTTTGAGTCTCCGACGTTTTCTTGGAAACACTTTTCTATGAGGATAGTTGCAAGCTAATTAGAGCTGTAAAATAACATGACTATGGGGGGCTTCATTATGATTTCGGGATTAATTAGAGCAAGGAAGGCAAGTGGTTCCCGTGTATGGGAAGTATTTGTTACCATGGTCTGTTGCTTTGACGGATGATCTGCAACGTTGAGTTCTAAAGTATATACTCTATGGGCATGGTAAACCAATTCTTTGTTGTGCCACTTGTCCAAATCCAAATGGGTTGCAAGTGCCCGAGTCCTATCTAGCATGGTTCCCGGCTAGACAAATCAGTGTCAAAGCATATTGTACGTATGCCATGAAGATGAATGCTCCTATTTGTTCTTTGTAGATTAAATGCCAGATTAGCTCTTGCTGCTGCAGATGCATTGTAACCCATGTGACTGAAAGACGTCAACCAGCTGGATCTCTTACATCACAATCAGCAAGCTGTTAGTGATTAGTTAAGACTAATTAATAGATTAGTTAGAGAGTTAGTTATGACAGCTGTAACTTCACATGTGAAGCATTGAGTGCTAGATTCACTCATACACTCACTATATATACTCGTACGTGAGGTCCAGATGAATAAGATGAATTCTCCAATTGCTTTTCATCATTCTTCTTCTTCTTCTCTCTCTCTCTCTCTCTCTCACTCTCTGCTATTCTCTGCTTGTCTGTTTTTTTTCTGTGAGATTGAAGAACAATAATTCTTCACTCAATCTCAAAGTCTTTCGTGCATCTCCCCTTTTTATCTTACCAATTTGTCCCATTTCTTGTTGGTATATTAGGTTGAAATTTATTTCAAACAGATTTAAAGTAATTATTTTTGACATTGTTCCAGTTGCATGCCAATTGGGAGTATTCTCACAGTTGCCTAAAGCATGCTAATCAGTGGGTTTCTGTTCCATGCATGGATGAAACCAAGTCTTATAAGCTTGGTGATAGGATTACAAGTGACATTATTGTACGCTTGAGAAACAAAGAAGGAAGACCTGAAGTTTTCCATTCACATTCCGTTGTTCTGAAAAAGAACAGCAAGTATTTTGCAGATAGGTTATCCCATCCAAACCCTAGTACTTGTATCGCCGTTCAGTGCTCAGATTCAGATTATGAATATCATGTTGCATTTTTGAGGCGTCTCTATCTCCCTGTAGACTCTCTTTTGGACTCCTGGGACTCTGTTCAATCAGCTGTTGGTGTTCTGCTGGTGGCAGCTGCTTTCTGCTGTGAAGAGATCACACAGAGCTGCATCCAGTACTTGGAGGCTGTTCCCTGGGAGGACAAGGAAGAAGAAGAGATCATTAAAGCAGTTTCAAAACTGGGTCCAATAGCTATGCCCATTTTGGCCAGAATCCAACCTGTAGATTTAAGTGCCACAAGAAATGTTTTCATCTCTGCAATTCGGTTTGCTACGTCCACTGGCAGACCATGTCCTCCTTTTGGTGATGAGCTTAAAACCTCAGCTCAGGAACAAGTTGAATACATGCTAGGGGATGATGAAGACACAGCCCTGGTTACAGCTGATGATGAAGTAAAATCAGAGATTAGAATAGGTCTATCCAAGATATGTTTTTCTTTTGAAGAGGATCTGTCTTCTTTGCTTTTGGAGTCTGATCTCTCATGTGAAGCAGCCGAAAACAAAATTATGCAGTCTCTCTCTGATCTCGAGTGGATGTGTACGATTCTACCGAAGATAGACATGATGAAAGATTTTGTTGCTAATTGGGTAGATACATCAGTTAATGTTCTGAGGGTTGTTGAAGACAAGAAACTTGATTCTGTTATGTGGGGTTTGAAATTTAAATTAATAGAAGTGACTACCAAAGTATTAGAAGCAGTAGGTTATGGAAATGTGATTTTTCCAGCCCCAGGTCGAGTACTATTGCTAAAGACATGGCTTCCATATGTAAGGAAGATTAAGCCACTTTTGGATTCAGTTGGCAGCGAAGAAATGGGTTATCCTTACAAGATGGGTGAAGACTTGTGCCAGAGCATTGAGGGGGCACTCGTCTCCCTGATACTGGCATTGCCATCGAACGATCAAGCTGATATTCTCGCAGACTGGATGAACACCGAACAAGTGAGATATCCTGACTTGAGCGAGGCTTTTGAGGTTTGGTGTTACAGAACTAAATCTGCAAAGAGAAGATTGGTGGAGGGCGTGGACAGAGTGGACAATGCCACTGTCAGCCTTTGACATTACTTTTTTGTTGTACGACTAAGGTATTAAGTGGGGATTCGTAGATAAGTTCCACTTCTGTATGGTGATAGAGATATGCTGTGTTTTGATATTGTTAATTTCTTGTAATTTCCAAATGATCCAATTGATGGTGTTATCAACCACTAATTTAAACTAGGACATAACCAGTGGAGCATCTTTGAATATAGGTTGTGATGTGATGATGAACCAAACTGAAGAAAATGATGGGCTAGCACTAGCAGGTTGAATTTTGGTCTATTTCTTTGTGGTTAGGAGTCTAAAAAATTTATTTATTCTTTGTCTGACTGAAGCTTGAACAACCGACCATCTCATGTATGTTTACATTAATTACAACGCTGCAATTTTTATACAAGTAAGACAAATTATCTTTCCATTGACTGATGAATAGCAGAGTTTGTGCTGCTTTTGACCATCTTGTGAACACCAGTACCTGATATATTTGCTGTATTATTGTCACCATGTTGGTTGGTTTGTTTGTTCACTCAGCCACAGTTTATGCTTAAAAAATACAAACAATTTGTGGATCTATCTAACCTAAGGTAAAGGCTATTTCCATAATTTGTTAGTAGACAGGAATTTAAACTCACTCCTTAAGCCATTAGAGAAACTTGTCGAGTTCATGGTTAAACCTCTACGGTGGCCTAGCCTGGTGGCTAAGTTGGGTGGCATTAGAATACAATAGCAATTTAATGAGCTCTAGATTAATCTAACAAAAGTGTAAGTAGTTTTTTCAATAATACTACTTGAATTATATTTATTTGTCATAATATTGATTGGGGCTTTTTTCACTGGGATTTTTTTTTTTGTTTAACGGTTAAGGGTATTCGAACTAATTTACATGCACCACTGTTATCGATAACGGACAATATAATTGAACAGATTAGGCGAAAATAACACTAATAATTTTATTTGGCGGTTTTTTTGAAGATATAGCAATTATGAGGGGGCACAAGCGTAACGTGAACTCAAACGAAAATCAACGCTCCTCGCCTCTTGGGACCCACACTCCCAACAACCAATTGGTCTCTCTCTGTCTGTCTGTCTCTCTCTCTCTCTCTCTCTCTCTCTCTCTCTCTCT